TTTCAAGTGGTAAATGTATCACTTTTTCCCACTAATTCAGAATCATAAAGTTTCTTGAACAATTGTCATTACTAATCTTTATAAACTGTACCATATATCGTTACTCAGTTTTTATCACGGCTTATTCAACACAACTAACGTAGCGTCCAAGCATTAATTAACGAATAAATATAGAGAAGGAAAAATTATAAGTGGAATATTTATTAAAAAAAATAAAAATTTTCTTCTACTTTATTTTTGACCCTTTTGTTTCGAAAACCCCTGTTTTTCGCAAAAATACTTAAGCACATAATGATGGAAGAAAATTCGAAAGAACACCGGTTTATGACAAATAAAAAAAAAGCCAACAGAGATCACTGGTTGAGTTAGACAGTTAACGTACAGTAACGTCACACTTTGCAGCAGTTGACGATCAAACATACCACAGTTCCATAATCATCATCACAGAAATTAAGCTATCGAATCGTTTTCGCATCTTTTACCATCATACCTTTACCGCTACACTTTATAAATAATTTTTTTAAAACAAATATTAGAAACAACACAACATTAGATTCTCACATCTTATTGATAAGGTAAAAAAAATAAGGCCCATAATGACTGCGGTAAATATTAATATTTCCAAACTGTACATATCGCTCTTGCACAATAATTCCTTCATTTACCAGTTTCAGCCTATAATACGAAAAAAACAATACTTAACACATCTAGAAAAGCAAAAAACCAACAACAACCGAAAGTGACCGATTAGTTGAACCATATTTGATTGGTAGACTTTTGTTCCGCTTATATCATGAACGATGATTGCGGCTCACTTTTCACTGGTAAATTTAAGCCATTTAAAAGCGACGGTGAAGCTGCTGTTGCAGTTGGCGAAGAGAGTTGAGGTGTTGAGACTGCAGGAGGATTTATTGCAGCTGTTGCTGCAACTGCAGCCGGCGAAGGCAGGTTGGTTGGTGTGTATCCAGCAGCAGCGGCTGCAACTGATGCCAATTTATCCTAGTTTATTGTCAACATTTTGACAGTTCTTGATGTAATGATTTACTTGAAAATCGGTTTTATTACCTAACAAATTTGCTGGTATACCTGTCAGAGCAGGAGTGACGTGTGGTGCCAATTCAGCAAGTTGTTGTAGTGATGCCATTAATGCCTATAAAAAGGTGAAAAATTTTAAAAAAAATCGAACTTATTAAATATTAAAATTTTGAAGCATTACTGCCCACTAATGAACAAAAGCTGAATTTTGATTTATAAATACTACAAAAAAGTTGTTGTTCTTTGGAAAGCATTCAATGTTTAAGGAACTTACATAGCATGAATCCCCCACCTGTTGATACATGTATGCGTTAATAAGTTGTTGCGCATACAGTTTATATTCTTCGCTATTGAACAACGTTTCCAAGCTAGAACTGTTATTCAGCGAAGCCGATACCATAGCGTTGGACAATGCTGATTGAAGTTTTGACAAAGTGGCTGCTGCTTCAACTGGACTGGTAGTTGACGAAGTTGTTTTATTTGTGCCATTTGACGCATTCAGATATGATGGAAACGGCTTAAGTAAAGCTGTATTAAGCTGAAACTATTCAGTAAGCATCAAATTCAACAAACAATACGATAAAAAATAAGAAGGTACTTGTATTTAGTAAAAATTACCTGCTGTTGATCTATAACGGAAGGACTTTTCAAACCGCTTGTAGATGAAGGGCTAATCGAAGTTGTTTCTGGACTGCATCTTGCACTTTGATCGCTAAGATTTGTATCAGAACTAACACTATTTCCATCTATAAATCAATTTTTCACTGATGTCACGAGAGTACAAAAACCAGATTTGACAATTGCACATTTATTATGAAAAGTGTTTAATATTAAAAAAATAGCACGTCTTCCAAAAAAAAGTATCGTTTTGTTTGATTTTCTAGAAGTATTACATGCTCTGGCAAAAAAACCTTTATTCAACAGTTGTGAATTCTTGTCATTCCCTTTCCCACATCGATCATTATTTGTATGGTTATTGGCTGACGATAAATTCGCGGATGCCGCATTTCGATTACCTCCACGTGCCCCGCCACGATTTCTACGTCTTAGAGTTTGCTTATCACCGAGCTCGGGGATCACAGTCCAAAAATGACCTGTTAAATTAAGGTGAGACAGAGATACAGCGAAGCAGAAAATACAATAAAAAATTAGACAGAATTTTAAAAAATGAACAATATCTATCGACTACACAAAAATATTGCTACTATGTGGTCAAAATAAAAGTGAAATTAATCACTATGCGTAAAGAATAGTTCCCAAAAGATTAGTTATTCATAATTATGGAGAAGTCGTATAAGTGACTAAAAAATAACTGTTGCCTTAATGTTGGCATACCCATTACGCCGCTTGCAGACGTTTGTTTCAACGGCAGCTTTACAAAACAGTCATGAAGGCTCAAATTGTGTCGTATTGAATTTTGCCATCCCCACTGGTCTGGACGAAGACGATAATATGGATGCAAAACGCGAATCACCTGAAATAATTTGGGTTTATAATTGATTCATAACTGCTATTGGAAAACTGAATAAGCTCAAAAAAGAAAAACTGCTCTACCACAAAAAGCAATGAAAAAACACATTACAAAGATAACTGTCGATTCAGCAGTAAATTCTATAATGGTCTACCTTTTACTGATTTCAAAACTAACTGTTTTTGTTATTTTCATTGCTATTCTAGTGATGTAAAAGAAAGAGTACTGTTTCAAGCGAAGAAAGAAAGCAGTAAGTAAATGACTAAACAAACAGAATGTGATGATAAAAAACTCTTAGATGTGGTGAACCCAGAACGGTTCAAAGTCTTCTGTAAAAACGAAGAAAAAAAATTTTTAGTTTTTATAAGATTAGACCAACTGTTAAATGCTATTCAACTTCTAAAATTCGTGCCATTTTACTGTATCAAAAGTATGCCTATAACTGCATATTGGCGGCTTACTTAATCGTTCTTTTTTCGACGACTTTTTTTGCATCAAAAAAGAGATTATTTAAAAGAATAATGCTTGTTTTCCTGACTTTAGTAGCTTCCTGCTTGCAAAAAAAATAAAATAAACGTTTTGTATTGGAAAACTAAGTTCCTTAAGCCGTAAAATTTGTAAAAAATGTTGTGTAAGTGAATAAACAAACGCAGATTTCTTGTACACAGAGATGAGATACTGAACTCCTATGCAGTTATTTAAAATAAAATTCTTTTTTAGGTTTTGTAACAAAATGAAAAAAGAAATAGCAAATTTTGCTACTTAGAAAGTGAGAAGAGAAGAAAGAAGATAAAGAATTTTTTGCTCCCAATCACCCAACAAAGAAGCTTGATACTGTGTGATAGACCTTGCCATTCCTTTCACTTCTTTTCGCTGAAGTTTCATTGTGTTTAGCTTTATAGGCAGAGCCCCCCCCCCCC